AAGGATCTGGATAAGGTCTGTATGGAGGAGTGGGCTAAAATCCCTGCTGCAGTGTGTGCAAACCTGGTCAAGACCTACAGGAAACGTATGATCTCTGTAATTGCAAACAAAGGTTTCTGTACCAAATATTAAGTTCTGCTTTTCTGATGTATCGAATACTCATGTCATGCAATAAAATGCAAATTAATTACTTAAAAATCATACAATGTGATTTTCTGGATTTTTGTTTTAGATTCCGTCTCTCACAGTTGAAGTGTACCTATGATAAAAATTACAGACCTCTACATGCTTTGTAAGCAGGAAAACCTGAAAAATCAGCAGTGTATCAAATACTTGTTCTCCCCACTGTATGTATGTGTGTATATATATATATATATATATATATATATATATATATATATATATATATATATTAGGACAAAACACACATCACGACAAGAGACAACACTACATAAAGAGAGACCTAAGACGACAACATAGCATGGCAGCAACACAAAACATGGTACAAACATTATTGGGCACAGACAACAGCACAAAGGGCAAGACGGTAGAGACAACAATACATCACGCGAAGCAGCCACAACTGTCAATAAGAGTGTCCATGATTGAGTCTTTGAATGAAGAGATGGGGATAAAACTGTCCAGTTTGAGTGTTTTTTTGCAGCTTGTTCCAGTCGCTAGCTGCAGCGAACTGAAAAGAGGAGAGACCCAGGGATGTGTGTGCTTTGGGGACCTTTTAACAGAATGTGACTGGCAGAACGGGTGTTGTATGTGGAGGATGAGGGCTGCAGTAGGTATCTCAGATAGTGGGGAGTGAGGCCTTAGAGGGTTTTATAAATAAGCATCAACCAGTGGGTCTTGCGACGGGTATACAGAGATAACCAGTTTACAGAGGAGTATAGAGTGCAGTGATGTGTCTTATACGGAGCATTGGTGGCAAATCTGATGGCCGAATGGTAAAGAACATCTAGCCGCTCGAGAGCACATTTATCTGCCGATCTATAAATTATATCTCTGTAATCTAGCATGGGTAGGATAGTCATCTGAATCAGGGTTAGTTTGGCAGCTGGGGTGAAAGAGGAGTGATTACGATAGAGGAAACCAAGTCTAGATTTAACCTTAGCCTGTAGTGTTGATATGTGCTGAGAGAAGGACAGTGTACTGTCTAGCCATACTCCCAAGTACTTGTATGAGGTGACTACCTCAAGCTCTAAACCCTCAGAGGTAGCAATCACACCGGTGGGGAGAGGGGCATTCTTCTTACCAAACCACATTACCTTTTGTTTTGGAGATGTTCAGAACAATGTTAAGGGCAGAGAAAGCTTGTTGGACACTAAGAAAGCTTTGTTGTAGAGCGTTTAACACATGAACATTGGGCTTTGATTGCAAAAAACTCAACGCACAATCTAGGGCTGTTTTCCAGTCACATCCATTGTCTTGCTTCACTTTCAGCATGATCTCTGTGAGTGTTTGATTATGTCTCTCCAGAAGTCCATTGCTCCATGGACTGAATGCAGCAGTTGTCTTTACTTCCATTTGGAATTTCTCAGCCATTTTTCTTATTTCATTATTATTGAATTCTCCTCCATTGTCACTGTACAATTTCTGGGGCAGGCCATGCACACTTATCCAGGAATGAATGAAGTGCTTGACGATTTCACTGGGTTTCTTTGTATTCACAATGCTTCCAGCACTGAAGCGTTGGAAGTGGTCAATTATGTGAAGGTACCACACACTTGGTCCTAGCTCATGTAGATCTACAGCCACTGTTTCATTGTACTTGGAAGCCAGTGGCAAACCAACAGCTGGTCTGGGCTTAGGTTTGCTGTATTTCTGGCATGTCTCACAACTGTCAACTATCTACCGTAGAATGGAAATACTGTCATCATTATTCTCAGAACTGCTGAGTAATTTCTGAAGTCTGTCAACTGTAGCATGTCCAAACTGTTTGTGAAGTTTTAACAATACTTTGTGTTTTTCCTCAGTGGTCATGTTCACTGTGACTGTCAGAATCTCCATGTGCTCTATGTCCGTCAGAATCTCATTTTTGCATGGACTCTGTGTGATGTCTTTGTCTAAAATGTTTATACAATAGAGTTCAAGGGTCACTGGTTGTTTAACCATCACTGCCTTGTCATTTTTTATGTCTAGTACAGGCCCTGCCTTCTTGAGGGAAGCCTTGCTTAATAGTAAGGGAATATCTACAGGGACCACCTCTGTTTCAATGTGACACTTAGTCTGACCAATTTTTGCTGGTATCTTGACTCTCTAGGTAGAGTGGACGACTCTCCCATCTCCAAATTTGAAAGCTCTGTTGCTTGGTGTGTCAATCATATTTTCAGATTTAGTTCACTGACATAGCTATCAAGCCACTTTGCACCACACACTGTGCGTGTTCATGCAGTATCAATCACAGCAGATCCTAAGGATTCAACTATAAAGATCTCAGAAGCAGATTCGTTTGAAAACAGTGTAATGTTACACTGCTCCATCTGGGTTTAAATTTTCCTCTGTTATTTTAACTTGTTCATTTTTATGAGGACAGTCTTTAACCCATTGGTAAGTGCTTTGACAAATAGCACATGTTGATCTCCTTCCATACCTGTCCAGTGGATTTGTGCCAGGCAATGGCGCCCTCGTCTGGTTGTCTTGAGAACGTGACTTGTTGGCGCCTTTTCTCTGCTGCTCAGTGTATATGCCGCGTCACTCACTTGCAATCCATCTGTTATTGGCCCGACAGATGTCTTTTCACCAAAAATCCTTTTTAGTGCTGACTTCATTGACGCAAAAGTCAGCACAGTACAATCAGTCAAAGCCAACTGATTCTCCCTACCATCCAGACAGGCAGTATCTAGCAACTTGAATCTGTGAGAACCACGTCATACTTGCGCATCCTATTGTACCTCTGTTCGGAATCAATTATGTAGTCCGTCATTGCTACCGAAATGTCTCTAGTAACACTGTCAAAGTTTGAATATGCCTCGTAGGCACAGCCTTTCTCTTCTTTAAGAAACACAGAATCCAGTGCTCTGATCAAAGTTCTCATACCGTCATCCTTGTTCAAATCTTCCACGGATATTTCCAGTGCTGTATCTCTCGCTCTTCCCTTGAGCGATAATACCACCGCAAGTGCTTGCTTTATCTTGTCCAGATTAGTAACCCGTGTCCAGATTCCAAGTAAAAAAAATTCAACTTTCATACGACCTCTTCTCGTCGAAGCGAGGTGGCACATTGTAGGTATTAACCATCCTCTGCTACCAATGTTAACTCAAAATGACACAACGACTAGGTTCCAGTTTAACAACGTTTACTTCACCGTATTACCGCAGTACAAAGTCACCATCACACTCCAGGCCAGGTCCATCTCCCGTGAGACTACTGCTCAGACGTTCTAATAACAGAGTGATAGCACCGTAATAACAGAAATATAGGGATACTTAAAACATGAACTTAACAGCTATGAGGAAAAGTAACTTTATTTATTGCAGAGTTACTCACAACACTAGCGTTTCAATCATTTTATACCTACTGGAACAATTCCAGGTCTCTGTCATTAACCCTTATCTGTGTCTCTCTCTCTCAGTGTAAGGTGCTGGAGCAGCGCATGGAGCAGGGCATGGTGTTCACAGAGTATGAGCAGGTGGCCAAGCGGCGTCCGGCAGGCAACTGCAGCATCGCCCAGCTGCCGGAGAGTGGCGAGAGGAACCGCTTCCAGGACGTGCTGCCCTATGACGACACGCGTGTGGAGCTGGTGCCCACCAAGGAGAACAACACTGGCTACATCAACGCCTCGCACATTAGGGTAATGGACACACTAATACCCTTTTCATAGTACCGTGCCGACCTGAACCCTACCATGCTGGCTTGGAAATGTTCTCCTCGCATTCTCTTTTCCTGCATGGTTCCAGCATTTTTATGGTGGATGCGTAACTAGTTCAGAGTAGTATGGCTTTGCTCGGCTCCATAGTGTGAACCAACCCAGTGAACCGACAATGATAGCTAAAAACACAGACCTGCAGGTAACTGCCAAAATAAAGGAAATACCAACATAGTGTCTTATTAGGGCGTTGGGCCACCAAGAGCCAGAACAGCTTCAATGTTCCTTGGATGGAGGCATTGTCATCCTATTGGGGCATAGCCAAAATAATGGCCTGCCCAGCATTTTTATACACAACCCTAAGCATGATGGGATGTTAATTGCTTAATTAACTCAGGAACCGCACCTGTGTGGAAGCACCTGCTTTCAATATACTTTGTATCCCTTATTTACTCAAGTGGTTCCATTATTTCGGCAGTTACCTGTACATACACCATACATTTATGAATGTCTTTGCTCTAGTGCAGTGTTTCCCAGGTCCCAGGTTAGGGTTAGCCTCCCATAAATGCCTCCTCTCCACTTCCTAGAAATGTTCTTCATTCCAGATGACTGCTGATGGCTTAGGGCTTTATGCATTCATTGTCTCTTTGATAAGCATTTTTAAATGGAGGCCAGGATGTTTTCAGCACTTTTATTTCCATGACTAATCAACAACAACAAAATATCATGTTCTCTCTTGTCTCTCTTCAGCAGACATATAGTGAGCAATATGTTTGGAACATCAAATCACAATAAAATCACAGTATCGAATTGCAATACATATAGAATCGTGAGCATTGCAATACATAATGTATCCGAGCCTATGTATTGTGTTAATATCGTATCGTGAGGTCCCTGGCAATTCCCAGCCATAGTAATAAGTGGCATGCAACGAATGAAATGTTTTTACTTTGTCATTTTGGGGAATTATGTATAGATGGGTGAGACATTATTTAATTGTTTATCCATTTTGAATTCAGGCTGTAACACAACAAAATGTGGAATAAGTCAAGGGGTATGAATACTTTCTGAAGGCACTGTAAATGCTTTTACAGCGGTTGAGGTCACTTATAACCATATCTCTCCTCGGGCATTTCCTAGATCACGGTGGGCGGAGACGAGTGGAGCTACATCGCTTCCCAAGGCCCTCTCTCCAACACCTGTCAGGACTTCTGGCAAATGGTGTGGGAGCAGGGCGTGGCCATCATTGCCATGGTTACAGCTGAAGAGGTGTGTGTGTGTGTTACACTGGACTTTATTATGTCTGTATGTCCATGGTTTGTTGTTACTGTTATTGCATGACCTCAGATCTAGGAAGGCATACTGCGCTTTAAGCAATAACATTACTCTTTGACCCTGGCTAACCTTTGGCCTCTAACCCCTTTGCAGGAGGGTGGCAGGGAGAAGAGTTTCCGCTACTGGCCACGGCTCGGCTCCCGCCACAACACGGTGACGTACGGACGCTTAAAGATCACCACGCGCTTCAGGACAGACTCAGGCTGCTACGCCACCACAGGCCTGAAGATAAAACACCTGCTGACGGGCCAGGAGCGCACTGTGTGGCACCTGCAGTACACAGACTGGCCCGACCACGGCTGCCCTGAGGACTTCAAGGGCTTCCTCTGTGAGTGGACCGGTTGGAATAACATGTATTCAAACCAGGAAGTCCCTTTTAAGATAGGAAATCTCTATTCCAAGGGAGAGCAGGTCAAGAAGGCAGTTCCAGTCAAAGTTAAATGAGTGTTCAGTGATAACTTGAGATTTTGTGTTGTAAAATACTGTTTTTATTTAGTTTGGTTAATAGAATACATAATTATCTTATTTCAATGTTATCCCCAGTGTACCTGGAGGAGATCCAGTCAGTGAGGAGACACACCAACAGCACCAGCGACCCAAAGAACACCAACCTGCCCGTGCTGGTCCACTGTAGCGCTGGAGTGGGCCGCACCGGGGTGGTCATCCTCTCTGAGATCATGATCGCCTGTCTGGAACACAACGAGGTAAACACCTAACTAACGTCTACATGTATATTACCATTACATTACTGGGCTATGTAGAAGGCCTAAAAATGAATAATGTCGCCAGGATTGAACCCTAGTCTATTCCATCAGTAATGTAGGCATTGATCACATCTCACCACAGTTTAGATCAATCGGCCCATGAACCAATCCAATAACATACTCCTTTTGTAAACCCGTGTCTGTGTCCTGTTTCCCCCTCTTTCCTCCAGATGCTGGACATCCCGACCGTTCTCAACATGCTCCGGCAGCAGCGTATGATGATGGTGCAGACCATCTCACAATACAGCTTCATTTACAAAGTCCTCATCCAGTTCCTCCGCAACTCCAGGCTTATCTAAGTGCAAACCTCAGCTCCCACAAACATTTGTTTTTTCGGGGACGAGGAACCAAGATTCTCCAGCCGAACTTCAGTGCGTTGGAGCAACTGTGGCCTCTAGCTCCGAAATGGTGGTGCTAGCAGATGGCCCTTTTTCAAAGTATTAATGGAGGCGAGACTGCAACCTGAGGAAAGGATCACAGGACTTTGTGTGTGTCTGCCTCTTACAGTATTATTGAGATTTCACTGTGGAGTTTTTACACTAAATGATTACTGACATGAAAGCCAGCACTTTTACAGTAGAGTACCTAGCTGTATATAGCGAAACCATGTTGAAGTTGCAATTAGAATCTAAATCTGATTTTTGCATTTCAATATAATTACAGATCTATTTTTATCACTGATTTTAGAGTTTTTACGATGTGTATGCTGGATGATGTTTTTTATGATGGACTTGACTAATGTTTTGATTTAGAATTCCTGAAGGAACTTAAAATCACTCTTTGATTACGTTGGACTGCTGTTTGTTGTCTGCTTGACCGTGAAAGATGAGAATGGTTACTTTAAAAATGAAATATATATTTGGTGCAGTGCACTTGCATCGGAGGAGTGTAGAAGTATTGCCATGTTCCTCCTGTGGTGGTTTAGGATTTCTCCTTTGCTTTTCTATTTGACCTAGTAATAGGTCTGACACTAAGACCATCATTATTTTGATTCACAAGAGGAGTTCATTTTGTTATGTTACCCAAATGGTACCACAAACCCCACTTTGGGGAAACCTGGGTCTTTGTAACCAAAGAGCTGTAGTCATTCTATAGCCACATACATCATGTTGAGTTTTTCAGGTGTCCACCAAATTATATTTACTGTTAAATACATATAACTTATGAAGTTGTCAGGTAGGCTTGAATATCTAAATATGATAAATCATTAGAAGAACTTTGTACATACACACACACCAAATTATGAAAGACAAGCATTGTAATTTTGAATTCCGTAAAGTAAGTGTGGAAGAGGTGAAAAAATGGTCAATCAACAATGACAAGCCACCGGGGTCTGCCAACTTGGATGGAAAATGACTGAGGATAATAGCGGACGATATTGCCACTCCTATTTGCCATATCTTCAATTTAAGCCTACTAGAAAGTGTGTGCCCTCAGGCCTGGAGGGAAGCAAAAGTAATTCCCCTAACTAAGAATAGTAAAGCCCCCTTTACTGGCTCAAATAGCAGACCAATCAGCCTGTTACCAACCCTTAGTAAACTTTTGGAAAAATTGTGTTTGACCAGATACAATGCTATTTTACAGTAAACAAATTGACAACAGACTTTCAGCACGCTTATAGGGAAGGACATTCAACAAGCACAGCACTTACTCAAATGACTGATGATTGGCTGAGAGAAATTGATGATAAAGATTGTGGGGGCTGTTTTGTTAGACTTCAGTGTGGCTTTTGACATTATAGTTCATAGTCTGTTGCTGGAAAAACATGTGTTATGGCTTTACACCCCCTGCTATATTGTGGATAAAGAGTTACCTGTCTAACAGAACACAGAGGGTGTTATTTAATGGAAGCCTCTCCAACAAAATCCAGGTAGAATCAGGAATTCCCCAGGGCAGCTGTCTAGGCCCCTTACTTCTTTCAATCTTTACTAACGACATGCCACTGGCTTTGAGTAAAGCGGATGACTCAACACTACACGTCAGCTACCACAGCGAATGAAATGAATGCAACACTTAACAAAGAGCTGCAGTTAGTTTCAGAATGGGTGGCAAGGAATAAGTTAGTCCTAAATATTAAAAAAAAACTAAAAGCATTGTATTTGGGACAAATCATTCACTAAACCCTAAACCTTGTAATGAATAATGTGGATTTAAGCAAGTTGAGACTAAACTGCTTGGAGTAACCCTGGATTGTAAACTGTCATAGTCAAAACATATTGATACAACAGTAGCAAGGATGGGGAGAAGTCTGTCCATAAAGCACTGCTCTGAATTCTTAACAGCAACAAGGCAGGTCCTACAGAACCTAGTTTGTCTCACCTGGACTACTGTTCAGTCGTGTGGTCAGGTGCCACAAAGAGGGACTTAGGAAAATTGCAATTGGCTCAGAACAGGGCAGCATGGCTGGCCCTTGGATGTACACAGAGCTAACATTAATAACATGCATGTCAATCTCTCCTGGCTCAAAGTGGAGGAGAGATTGACTTCATCACTACTTGTATTTGTGAGAGGTATTGACATGTTGAATGCACCAGACACCCATGCATACCCCACAAGACATGCCACCAGAGGTCTCTTCACAGTCCCCAAGTCCTGAACAGACTATGGGAGGCGCACAGTACTACATAGAGCCATGACTACATGAAACTCAATTCCATATCACGTAACTCATGCAAGCAGTAAAATTTGATTTAAAAAAACAGATAAAAATACAACTTATGGAACAACGGGGACTGTGAAACAACACAAACATAGGCACAGACACATGCATACAAACACACGATAACATACACACTATACACACACTTACACATGGATTTTGTGTGGTAGAAGAGTAGGGGCCTGAGGGCACACACTTAAATCTGTTGTGAATGAATTGTAATGTTTTTAAAATTGTATAACTGCCTTAATTTTGCTGGATCCCAGGAAGAGTAGCTGCTGCCTTTGGAGCAGCTAATGGGGATCCATAATAAATACAAATACACACCCATTCAAGTGTTTGGACATACCTGGAATTGGAATTGTCCACCTCAATGACTGTATACAGTTGAGGTCAGAAGTTTACATACACCTTAGCCAAATACATTTAAACTCAGTTTCACAATTCCTGACATCTAATCCTAGTAAGAATTCCCTGTTTTAGGTCAGTTAGGATCACCACTTTATTTTAAGAATGTGAAATGTCAGAATAATAGTAGAGAGAATTATTTATTTCAGCTTTTATATCTTTCATCACATTCCCAGTGGGTCAGAAGTTTACATACAATCAATTAGTATTTGGTAGCATTGCCTTTAAATTGTTTAACTTGGGTCAAACGTTTCGGGTAGCCTTCCACAAGCTTCCCACAATAAGTTGGGTGAATTTTAGCCCATTCTTCCTGACAGAGCTGGTGTAACTGAGTCATGTTTGTAGGCCTCCTTGCTCGCACACGCTTTTTCAGTTCTGCCCACACATTTTCTATAGGATTGAGGTCAGGGCTTTGTGATGGCCACTCCAATACCTTGACTTTGTTGTCCTTAAGCCATTTTGCCACAACTTTGGAAGTATGCTTGGGGTTATTGTCCATTTGGAAGACCCATTTGCGACCAAGCTTTAACTTCCTGACTGATGTCTTGAGATATTGCTTTAATATATCCACATAATTTTCCTTCCTCATGATGCCATTTTTTTTGGTGAAGTGCACCAGTCCCTCCTGCAGCAAAGCACCCCCACAGCATGATGCTGCCACCCCTGTGGTTCACAGTTGGGATGGTGTTCTTCGGCTTGCAAGGCCCCCCATTTTTCCTCCAAACATAACGATGGTCATTATGGCCAAACAGTTCTATTTTTGTTTCATCAGACCAGAGGACATTTCTCAAAAAAGTACGATCTTTGTCCCCATGTGCAGTTGCAAACCGTAATCTGTCTTTTTTATGGCGGTTTTGGAGCAGTGGCTTCTTCCTTGCTAAGTGGCCTTTCAGGTTATGTCAATATACACTGCTCAAAAAAATAAAGGGAACACTTAAACAACACAATGTAACTCCAAGTCAATCACACTTCTGTGAAATCAAACTGTCCACTTAGGAAGCAACACTGATTGACAATACATTTCACATGCTGTTGTGCAAATGGAATAGACAACAGGTGGAAATTATAGGCAATTAGCAAGACACCCCCAATAAAGGACTGGTTTTGCAGGTGGTGACCACAGACCACTTCTCAGTTCCTATGCTTCCTGGCTGATGTTTTGGTCACTTTTGAATGCTGGCGGTGCTTTCACTCTAGTGGTAGCATGAGAAGGAGTCTACAACCCACACAAGTGGCTCAGGTAGTGCAGCTCATCCAGGATGGCACATCAATGCGAGCTGTGGCAAGAAGGTTTGCTGTGTCTGTCAGCGTAGTGTCCAGAGCATGGAGGCGCTACCAGGAGACAGGCCAGTACATCAGGAGACGTGGAGGAGGCCAACAACCCAGCAGCAGGACTGCTACCTCCGCCTTTGTGCAAGGAGGAGCAGGAGGAGCACTGCCAGAGCCCTGCAAAATGACCTCCAGCAGGCCACAAATGTGCATGTGTCTGCTCAAACTGTCAGAAACAGACTCCATGAGGGTAGTATGAGGGCCCGACGTCCACAGGTGGGGGTTGTGCTTACAGCCCAACACAGTGCAGGACGTTTGGCATTTGCCAGAGAACACCAAGATTGGCAAATTCGCCACTGGCGCCCTGTGTTCTTCACAGATGAAAGCAGGTTCACACTGAGCACATGTGACAGACGTGACAGAGTCTGGAGACGCCGTGGAGAACGTTCTGCTGCCTGCAACATCCTCCAGCATGACCGGTTTGGCGGTGGGTCAGTCATGGTGTGGGGTGGCATTTCTTTGGGGGGCCGCACAGCCCTCCAGTTGGCGGATGCTTTAGTCCAGGTCTGGGAGGAGATCCCTCAGGAGACCATCCGCCACCTCATCAGGAGCATGCCCAGGCATTGTAGGGAGGTCATACAGGCACGGCCACACACACTACTGAACCTCATTTTGACTTGTTTTAAGGACATTACATCAAAGTTGGATCAGCCTGTAGTGTGGTTTTCCACTTTTAAATTTTGAGGGTGACTCCAAATCCAGACCTCCATGGGTTGATACATTTTATTTCCATTGATAATTTTTGTGTGATTTTGTTGTCAGCACATTCAACTATGTAAAGAAAAAAGTATTTAATAAGATTATTTCATTCATTCAGATCTAGGATGTGTTATTTTAGTGTTCCCTTTATTTTTTTGAGCAGTGTAGTACTCGTTTCACTGTGGATATAGATACTTTTGTACCTGTTTCCTCCAGCATCTTCACAAGGTCTTTTGCTGTTGTTCTGGGATTGATTTGCACTTTTCGCACCAAAGTACGTTAATCTCTAGGAGACAGAACGCATCTCCTTCCTGAGAGGTATGACGGCTGCGTGGTCCAATGGTGTTTATACTTGCGTACTATTGTTTGTACAGATGAACGTGGTACCTTCAGGCATTTGGATATTGCTCCCAAGGATGAACCAGAATTGTGGAGGTCTTGGCTGATTTCTTTTGATTTTCCCATGATGTCAAGCAAAGAGGCACTGAGTTTGAAGGTAGGCCTTGAAATACATCCACAGGTACACCTCCAATTGACGCAAATTATGTAAATTAGCCTATCAGAAGCTTCTAAAGCCATGCCATCATTTTCTGGAATTTTCCAAGCTTGTTTAAAGGCACAGTCAAGGCTGACTTCTGCCCCATGGAAGCGTGTACATAGTTTTCGTGACATTGTTAGCCAACCCATCTATGGAGACATAACATGCACAGTTTGAGCTACTCCAGGAAGTGACATTGCAGACTAGCTCAGTGCTGCCTCGCCCATTGAGTAACTCAAGTTGAAGGCCGACCTGGGTACTGCAGGCTGCCATTAGCAACAAAATTATCCTTAACTTATTGTGTGCAATTTAAAAATAATCGGTTCAAGATCATACATCTAGCGTATTAGAAGCAATTGTTGGTACCATGATAGCCTTCAAAAAAATGTTTTATTTACACAAAGATTGCCATTTTTCCATTCACTATTATGGGGGACACTGTTTTCGGCTAACAAAGCCTGCAATACCGCGGCCGGCTTTGAACTGCCGTGGCTTCAATGAGAGGGGGCAGTCGTTCTCCCCTAGTCCACCTACAAATGCTTATCCAAGATGTTACACTGAACATTAGCCCTTTTTTTTATTGATATCCTTGAAAAGGAACAGTCCCTTTAACATATTGAAGTGCATTTTGTTGCTGAAGCTAATGTTTCTCCCATATAGTACTACACTGGAGGTGGCTCACACATACTGTGCCTTAAGTACATTCCATTCTAGCTGATGTGTGACTAAACGGTTGGTGGACTCTAGTTTGGATTGGACAGACATCAGAAAGCAGTTGTGTTTGTAAGTAAGGAGGTATTGAGACATGGCCATTGACTGGTGACGTCAGTCAGATTCATGTGAATGAGATAGGGAAAAAAGGATTGAGAAATGATGCGGAAAGGTTTGTTTTTAGTGGACTATTATTTTATATTTAGCCATTTGGTAATGTTGGCCGTTCTGACTAATTTAAACAGAATGGTGTGTTTAAAATGAGTACCATAACCATTGTCGAGCAAATACCCCTTTACAGTGAACTTTCTTTACATCAGGAAAAAAGTGCCTACGTACACTGTGTACAAAACATTAGGAACACCTGCTCTTTCCATGACCTAGTCTGACCGGGTGAATCCAAGTGAAAGCTATGCTTCTTTATTGATGTCACTTGTTAAATCCACTTCAATCAGTGTAGATGAAGGGGAGACGACAGGTTAAAGAAGGATTTTTAAGTCTTGAGACATGGATTGTGTATGTGTGCCATTCAGAGGGTGAATGGGCAAGACAAGATTTAAATGCCTTTGAACGGGGTATGGTAGTAGGTGCCAGGCGGTTTGAGTGTGCCAAGAACTGCAACTCTGCTGGGTTTTTCACGCTCAACAGTTTCTCGTGTGTATCAAGAATGTTCCACCACCCAAAGGACATCCAGCCACAACTGTGGGAAGCATTGGAGTCAACATGGGCCAGCATCCCTGTGGATGCATCCTATCTGTAGTTGGACTTGAAGCACTATGCTGTCAACGTTCTAGCCACTGCCTTTGTAAGGTCACGGTCATTATGACACAAGGCACGCCAAACTTCTGATTCAAGAGGCCAATCCATGAGGGTGAATGAACTCTCAACTCATGTAAAATGAATTAAATATCTATGCATAAGGAATTACAACAAAACAAAGTAGACAGCGGTCTTATCCATAAAACACCAAATAGACGACGACCCCCCCAAGTACACACACAGGGAACCTAGACATTTAAACTCTGAAGAAAGCATTTTATTATTCAAGTCAATCGGATTAAGTCTTTACATCTACATTTTAGTCATTTAGCAGACGCTCTTATCCAGAGCGACTTACAGTTAGTGAGTGCATACATTATTTTTTTATCATACTTCAAATCAAAAAGGTCATTACCATGATTCCAATTTCCAAAAATGTCATTTGATAAGACTACCAACATACAATTAGTAGAAAATAAGTAAAACTAAATCAAAAATGGTCAGTGAGTTTGACTTACTGTCGGTATTGCTTCGACAACTTTCCACAGCAACACAGTTCATAAGAACTCTGAAAATGAACACAAAAATCAGTGACAAATATTTAGGAGAGTTCATACAGTAACATTCTGTACATCTCAGTCCAGTCCACATCATCACTCCAAATAAGCAATGCCTTAGGTGTTGCCCTTAGCGGCGCATATACCCATGAGTAGGTTTCAGTTCACCTATTGAACACTGTCTGGCTTTTCAGTTTTAAAAAACCCTGGTAAGTTAGTATTGATAACGTCCTCTCTTTCCTCCATGACCCCAACCAGTTCCACCACCTCGCCAGCCACCCTTACCCCCTCCTCCCCAACCACCATCTCCCCAACTACCACCACCACCTCCTCGACCACCTCCCCAACCACCACCACCACCACCTCCCCGACCACCACCACCACCTCCCCGACCACCACCACCACCTCCCCGACCACCACCCCAACCCCCTCCGCCGTCTTGTCTCTTCTGCCAGGTTGGCATCTCAGGGAGGGGGGCATCTATCTCAGAGGGCCGGCCACCTCGATCTGGCACCCTCCCCATCAGGATCTATAGAAGATAAATACAATGGTAGGTCAATGACAGGACAATGGATGGGGACCATAGAACATTTTAATTTAGTCAGTTATGCTGCACTTCCACCTAAGAATTACCCCACCCCAGTGTTTTATGTTAATGCTAGCTCTAGTATAACTGTGTTTCCATCAGGAGTGTGACACTAAATACTTGGGGCAAGCAGAATCAACAACTTCTGCACCATCAAGACAGTTGCTTTGTGAGGTATTAAGGTTCACAGGTAGCCATTGTTATGTAAATGCGAGCTGAAAAGTACCAGTGGCTTGGCTTTGGCCCCAAGTCAGAGCAGGTCCACCAGAGCCATGGTCCAGTGAGACACGGGTGCTAGCCCGCATAGATGGAAACAGAAAAGTCTGAGCCTTTTGGGTAAAACACTGGGGTAAATCTAAGATGGAAACTCAACATTAGTGCGATTCCACTGCTGGGTTTTACACCGGTACTTGGCCTAAGGACTCAAGACTTTTGTACACTCAGACATTTGGACACAATGTACCTTGGGTCACATTACACAGTCTGGAAGGCTACAGTACCTTATTGACAGCACAGGCAGTATTCTCTCTGCTGGAGCCACTGCTGGTCTTCACCACGTTGCATATGTCCTCCCTGGCTGCCAACAGGTGAGCCATGCCTACAGATGAACACTGGGCCAGGGAGTGTCTCTTAGGCTGGTAGGCCCTGGCCATGCTGTCAACTCTCTCCTAACAGACAGACAAGACAGTTTGTTGAGCATATGACATGCACAATGAGATTCTGCATAGAAAAAGCAAAGGGTGTAGCCTGCCGATTAAGGACGGTAGCACTGTGCCCTGATGAGGAATCAAATCACATTTTATTTGTCACATGCGCCGAATACAACAGGTGTAGGTAGACCTTACAGTGAAATGCTTACTTACAAGCCCTTAACCAACAATGGAGTTTTAAGAAAGAATACAAACAACAACAAAAAATCACACAAAAATACAATATAAAATAATACGAAATAAAAGTAACAAATAATTAAAGAGCAGCAGTAAAAATAACAATAGCGAGGCTATATACAGGGGGTACCGGTACCGAGTCAATGTGCGGGGGCACCGGTTAGTCGAGGTAATTGGGGTAATATGTACATGTAGGTAGAGTTATTAAACTGAATATGCATAGATAATAAACAGAGAGTAGCAGCAGCGTAAAAGAGTGGTGGGGGGGCAATGCAAATAGTCTGGGAAGCCATTTGATTAGATGTTCAGGAGTCTTATGGCTTGGGGGTAGAAGCTGTTTAGAAGCCTCTTGGACCTAGACTTGGCGCTCCGGTACCGCGTGGTAGCATAGAGAACAGTCTATGACTAGGGTGGCTGGAGTCTGACAATTTTTAGGGTCTTCCTCTGACACCGCCTGGTATAGAGGTCCTGGATGGCAGGAAGCTTGGCCCCAGTGATGTACTGGGTTGTACGCACTACCCTCTGTAGTGCCTTGCGGTCGGAGGCCGAGCAGTTGCCATACCAGGCAGTGATGCAACCAGTCAGGATGCTCTCGATGGTGCAGCTGTAGAACCTTTTGAGGATCTGAGGACCCATGCCAAATCTTTTCAGTCTCCTTAGGGGGAATAGGTTTTGTCGTGCCCTCTTCACGACTGTCTTGGTGTGCTTGGACCATGTTAGTTCGTTGGTGATGTGGAAACCCAGGAGCTCTCAACCTTCTCCACTACAGCCCCGTCGATGAGAATGGGGGCATGGTCGGTTCTCTTCTTTTTCCTGTAGTCCACAATCATCTGCTTTGTCTTAATCACGTTGAGGGAGAGGTTGTTGTCCTGGCACCACACGGCCAGGTCTCTAACCTCCTCCCTATAGGCTGTCTCGTCGTTGTTGGTGATCAGGCCTACCACTGTTGTGTCATTGGCAAACTTAATGATGGTGTTGGAGTCGTGCCTGGCCATGCAGACATGGGTGAGCAGGGAGTACTGGAGGGGACAGAGCACGCACCCCTGAGGGGCCCCCGTGTTGAGGATCAGCGTGGCAGATGTGTTGTTACCTACCCTTACCACCTGGGGGCGGCCCGTCAGGAAGTCCAGGATCCAGTTGCAGAGGGAGGTGTTTAGTCTCAGGGTCCTTAGCTTAGTGATGAGCTTTGAGGGCACTATGGTGTTGAACGCTGAGCTGTAGTCAATTAATAGCATTCTCACATAGGTGTTCCTTTTGTCCAGGTGTGAAAGGGCAGTGTGGAGCGCAATAGAGATTGCATCAACTGTGGATCTTTTGGGGCGATATGCAAATTGGAGTGGGTCTAGGGTTTCTGGGATAATGGTGTTGATGTGAGCCATGACCATTCTTTCAAAGCACTTCATGGCTACAGACGTGAGTGCTACGGGTCGGTAGTAATTTTGGCAGGTTACTTTAGTGTTCTTGGGCACAGGGACTATGGTGGTCTGCTTGAAACATGTTGGTATTACAGCCTCAGACAGGGAGAGGTTGAAAATGTCAGTGAAGACACTTGCCAGTTGGTTAGTGCATGCTCGGAGTACACGTCCTGGTAATCCGTCTGGCCCTGCGGCCTTGTGAATGTTGATCTGTTTAAAGGTTGTACATCAGCTACGGAGAGCGTGATCACACAGTCGTCCGGAACAGCTGATGCTCTCATGCATGTTTCAGTGTTACTTGCCTCGAAGCGAGCATAGAAGTAATTTAGCTCATCTGGAAGGCTCGTGTCACTGGGCAGCTCGCGGCTGTGCTTCCATTTGTAGTCTGTAATAGTTTGCAAGCGGGATTTCTTATAAGCTTCCGGGTTAGTGTCCCGCTCCTTGAAAGTGTCAGCTCTACCCTTTAGCTCAGTGCGGATGTTGCCTATAATCCATGGCTTCTGGTTGGGGTATAGTCACTGTGGGGATGACGTCATCGATGCACTTATTGATGACGCCAGTGACTGAGTGAAAGGGGACACTTTAAAGTTGAGACTATCAAGATGCACCCAAGGACTCCACCTGCCTTAGCTCTGTCTGACCAGCCGAAAGACTGCACAGTGACGTCGAGACGTTTGATCAGCATCCTCCGTCGACACTCATACTCTGAGGACAGGACCGTGTTGATCTGCTCCAGCCTCTCCTGTGGAGACAAGGCCCATATTCAATGCACACTTGGCATCCCCTCATGCCTTAGCAGGAATTATACACTTTGCCTCCACAAAAATGGGTGACATTCTGAATGCAGTCTGCTTACCCACTGTTCACTGTCGAGAGAGTTATTCAGTACTGGCTTTCCAATGTGATCCTTTGGAAGCTCTTGAAGCAGTGCGTTTATCTGGAAATACATACAGTGCTTTCAGAAAGTATTCATACTCCTTGACTTATTCCAGATTTTGTTGTGTTACAGCCTGAATTCAAAATGGATGCGAATTAATTGAAAATCAAATACAGAAATATCACATTTCATAAGTATTCACACTCAAGTCAATACTTTGTAGAAGCACCGTTGGCAGCCATTACAGCTTTGTGTCTTTCTGGGTAAGTCTCTAAGAACTTTCCACACCTGGATTGTGCAACACTTGCCAATTATTATTTTCAAAATTCTTCAAGCTCTGTCAAATTGGTTATTGATAATTGCTAAACAACCATTTTCAGGTCTTGCCATATAACTGTAACTTGGACACTCAGGAACATTCACTGTCCTCTTGGTAATAACTCCAGTGTAGATTTGGCCTTGTGTTTTAGATTATTGTCCTGCTGAAAAGTGAATTAATCTCCAAGTGTCTGGTGGAAAGCAGACTGACCATGTTTTTCTCTAGGATTTTGCCTGTGCTTAGTTCCATTCCTAAACGATTACAAGCATACACATAACATGATGCAGCCACCACTACACTTGAAAATATGGAGAGTGGTACTCAGTAATGTGTTGTATTGGATTTGACCCAAACATATCACTTTGTATTTTGGACAAAAAGTTCATTGCTTTGCTACATTTTTTGCAGTATTACTTAACTGGCTTGTTGCAAACAGAATGCATGTTTTGGAATATTTTATATTTCGTACAAGCTTCCTTCTTTTCACTCTGTCAACTAGGTTAGTATTGTGGCATAACTACAATGTTGTTGATCCATCCTCAGTTTTCTCCTATCACAGACATTAATTTCGAACTATTTTAAAGTCACCATTGGCCTCATGGTGAAATCCCTGAGCGGTTTCCTTTCTCTCCGGCAACTGAGTTAGGAAGGATGCCTGTATCATTGTAGAGACTGGGTGTATTGATACATTATCCAAAGTGTAATTAATAACTTCACCATGCTCAAAGGGGATATTCAATGTCTGCTTTTTTTTTTACCCATCAACTAATAGGTGCCCTTCTTTGCGAGGCATTGGAAAACATCCCTGGTCTTTGTAGTAGAATCTGTGTTTGAAATTCACTGCTCGATTGAGGAACCTTACAGATAACTGTATGTGTGGGGTACAGAGATGAGGTAGTCATTCAAAAATCATGTTAAACACTATTATTGCACACAAATTGAGTCCATGCAATTTATGTGACTTCTTAAGCACATTTTTCCTCCTGAACTTATTTAGGCTTGCCATAACAAAGGGGTTGAATACTTATTGACTGAAGACATTACAGCTTTTCATTTTTAATTAATTTGTAAAAAATTCAAAAAACATAATTCCTACTTCGACATTATGGGGTATTGTGTGTAGGCCAGTGACGAACAAAATTTCAATTTAATCCATTTTAAATTCAGGCTGTAACACAACAAAATGTGGAAAAATACTTTCTGAAGGCACTACAGGATACAATACAATGCATCCATTGAATACAAAGACAATGATAAAATCGATGGCTATGCATTCAGGACTTTCTCACAGACTTATTATTTTTGTCATTTTAGCAGACGCTCTTATCCAGAGCGACTTACAGTTAGTGAGTGCACACGTTTTTCATACTGCCCCCCCGTGGGAATCAAACCCACAACCCTGGCATTGCAAGCACCATGCTCTACCAACTGAGCTACAGGAGGCCTATTGGGTTAATTAAGGACGTTTTTGCAGCTTTGGTATACCAGACCTTCTGAGCTAAGAGAGGAAGTGAACACACCTTTTTCCCTATCCCAGAGAACAGCTCTGCTACTCCATGCTCTCTTGGCTCTGGGAGCTTCAGTGTTTCACAGATTGCCTGGAGATCGTTTCTGTCTTTGTGTTCTTTGTCCTCAGCAGGTCGTCTCTTTACTATCTGCGCAGCTTGTAGCTCGGAGCATAAAAACACTGCAGAATAAAGATAGGAGCCACAGGTAAAAAATGCAAATGCAAAATGAAAACTCAAGACATAAACCACCCGAGCTACGGACTGTTCACCCCGCTATCATCTAGAAGGCGAGGTCAGCACAGGTGCATCAAAGCTGGGACCAAGAGACTGAAAAACTGCTTCTGTTGGGACCGAGAGACTGTTAAATAGCCATCACTAGCCGGCCTCCACCCAGTACCCTGCCCTTAGTCACTGTCACTAGCCTGCTACTAACCGGTTACTCAACCCTGCACTTTAGAGGCTGCTGCCCTATGTACATAAACATGGAATTACTGGTCACTTTAATAATATTTAAATACTGTTTACTCATTTCATATGTATATACTGTATTCTACTGTACTCTAGTCAATGCCACTGATATTGCTCGTCCTAATATTTATACAGTACCGGTCAAAAGTTTGGACACCTACTCATTCCAGGGTTTGTCTTTATTTTTTACTATTTTCTATATTGTAGAATAATAGTGAAGACATCAAAACTATGAAATAACACATATGGAGTCATGTAGTAACCAAAAAAGTGTTAAACAAATCCAAATATATGTTATATTTGAGATTCTTCAAAGTAGCCACCCTTTGCCTTGATGACAGCTTTGCACACTCTTGGTATTCTCTCAACAAGCTTCACGAGGTAGTCACCTGGAATGCATTTCAATTAACAGGTGTGCCTTCTTAAAAGTTAAGAAGGAAAGAAATTCCACAAATTAATGCGTTTGAGCCAATCAGTTGTGTTGTGACAAGGTAGGGGTTGTGTACAGAAGATAGCACTATTTGGTAAAATACCAAGTCCATATTATGGCAAGAACAGCTCAAATAAGCAAAGAGAAATGACAGTCCATCATTACTTAAAGACATGAAGGTCAGTCAATGCGGAACATTTCAAGAACTTTGAAAGTTTCTTCAAGTGCAGCTGCAAAAACCATCAAGCGCTATGATGAAACTGGCTCTCATGAGGACCGCCACAGGAAAGGAAGACCCAGAGTTACATATGCTCCAGAGGATAAGTTCATTAGAATAACTGCACCTCAGATTGCAGCCCAAATAAATGCTTCACAGAGTTCAAGTAACAGATACATCTCAACATCAACTGTTCAGAGGAGACTGCGTGAATCAGGCCTTCATGGTCAAATTGCTGCAAAGAAACCACTACTAAAGAACACCAATAACAAGAAGAGACTTGCTTGGGCCAAGAAACACGAGCAATGGACATTAGACCAGTGGAAATCTGTCCTTCGGTCTGATGAGTCAAAATTTGCGATTTTTGGATCCAACCGCCGTGTCTTTATGAAATGCAGAGTAGGTGAACGGATGATCTCCGCATGTGTGGTTCCCACCGTGAAGCATGGAGGAGGAGGTGTGATGGTGCGTTGCTGGTGACACTGTTGGTGATTTATTTAGAATTCAAGGCACACTTAACCAGCATGGCTACCACAGCATTCTGCAGCGATACGCCATCCCATCTGGTTTGCGCTTAGTGGGACTATCATTTGTTTTTCAACAGGACAATGACCCAAAACCCACCTCCAGGCTGTTTAAGGGCTATTTGACCAAGGAGAGTGATGGAGTGCTACATCAGATGACCTGGCCTCCACAATCACCCGTCCTCAGCCCAATTGAGATGGTTTGGGATGAGTTGGACCGCAGAGTGAAGGAAAAGCAGCCAACAAGTGCTCAGCATATCTGGGAACTCCTTCAAAATTGTTGGAAAAGCATTCCAGGTGAAGCTGGTTGAGAGAATGCCAAGAGTGTGCAAAGCTGTCATCAAGGCAAAGGGTGGCCACTTTGAAGAATCTAAAATATATTTTGATTTGTTGAACACATTTTCGTTACTACATGATTCCATATGTGTTATTTCATTGTTTTGATGTCTTCACTATTATTCTAGAATGTAGAAAATAGTAAAAATAAAGAAAAACCCTTGAATGAGTAGGTGTATCCAAACTTTTGACTGGTACTGTATATTTCTTCATTCCATTGTTTTACTTTTAGATTTGTGTGTATTGTTGTGAATTGTTAAGATACTACTGCACTTTTGGAGCTAGGAACACAAGCATTTCGCTACACCCGCAATAACATCTGCTAAATATGTGTATGCGACCAATAACATTTGTCTGAACTATTACAGAGCCGCAACATACCAAAAAGGGTATCATAACATGATGGTACTCAGGCCAGTATTCTGGACAGATGGCAAATTCAATACTTACATGCTAGCTTTAGATATTCTTTATTATTCTGCAGCCCTCCCTGTAGAATCCCGGAGACAAGGCCTTGATAGGGGCACTGCAACTCCTTCAGCATGCCACTCATCTCAAACTGAAGGCCATCAGTGTCACCTAAACACACGTTTCAGAATTAACATAGCAATAGTATCTGATTTAACAAAACAAATGTCGATCAAATGGGACAGTGAGAGGTGATGTCTTTTGGCTCACCTGAACCTGACGTAATGCTCTCTTCCAGATCACATAACGGTTTCAGACGGGATGCTAACCACATGCATAGGTTGACATACTCAGGTGATGACAGTCCACCTTCACATGCTCTGACAAGCGTCTCCTCATTCTGCAGAGGTCCGTCATACCTGCGCACCAACAAACAACAAAATTATCTAGCTGTACGCTAGCATAGAATCATAGCTATGATAGCACTTGGATGTTGCATGGATGCATTTGCGAGGGAATAAGCAAAGTCCATAATATTTTTATACCGCTGTCTAGAACGACTACACTAGCTAAGTATACTGAACAGAAATATAAAATACAACCATTTCCTTTATTTTCCAGAGTTACAGTTCATATGAGGAAATGTCAATTGAAATATTTTCATTAGGCCCTAATCTATGGCTTTCACGACTGGGAGTACAGATATGCATCTGTTGGTCACAGATACCTTAAAGAAAATGGGCCTCAAAATGGGTCACAGGATCTCGTCACTGTATTTTTGTGCATTCAAATTGCCATCGATAAAATGCAATTGTGTTTGTTGTCTGTAGTTCATGCCTGCCCATACCATAACCCCACCGCCACGACAGGGCACTCTGTTCACAACGTTGATATCAGCAAACCGCTCAACCACACGACGCCATACACGTGGTCTGCGGTTATGAGGCCGGTTGGACGTACTGCCAAATTCTCTAAAACAACATTGGAGTTAGCTTATGGTAGAGAAATGAACATTCAATTCTCTGGCAACAGCTCTGGTGGACATTCCTGCAGTCAGCATGCCAATTGCACACTCCCTCAAAACTTGAGACATCTGTGGCATTGTGTTGTGTGACAAAACTGCACATTTTAGAGTGGCCTTTTATTGTCCCCAGCACAAGGTGCACCTGTGTAATGATCATGCTGTTTAATCAGCTTCTTGATATGCCACACCTGTCAGGTGGATGGATTATCTTGGCAAAGGAGAAATGCTCCTTAACAGGGATGTAAACACATTTGTGCAGAACATTTCAGAGAAATAAGCTTTTCGTGCATATGGAACATTTCTGGGATCTTTTATTTCAGCTCATGAAAGATGGGACCAACACTTTACATGTTGCGTTTATAGTTTTGTTCAGTGTATATTGCAGTGTTGGGGAAGCTACTCTGAAAATATAGTTTACCAAGCTACCAATTACTTCACACTGGACGAAGTTAAGCTACACTAAAGCTATAGTAAATATAATTTACTTAACTAAAGCTACTATGAAAAAGTAGTTCACTACATCCAAACTACTTAGTGAAAAATTATCATATGTAAATCAAAAACACTTTGGGGTCATATGTTAACAGAAAGTGTAATAGAGTACCACAGTATGAGTCATAATACACATCAAACCTAGCGGTCAAACAGGGAAATGGTTCCAATCGTTTTTTCACCATTAATTTTTATAAATAAGGGCTGTGTTTCGTGTAGGCTTACCCTTGCGTGACGTTTTGATAACCGTGTAAATCTCTCTAGGACAAGGTGACTTTTATCAATATATTCACCTGTATTTACCCCCCCAAAATGAAATGCTAATTAACTGCTAATGTCACTATCATATAGAACTACAAATGCCATGATGATATGGACTAGACTGCAGAATCTAGGCAAATGTAAGAATCTCTGGATTAACTAATGTTAGCTAAATGTAGTAATGAATAAATTGGCAACATCTCTTTAAATTGACAATTCTGTGAACTGACACAATACCTGTTAGCAAAGGTGTCTGCTAAAGATGACGTGAGGGAGCTTGCAGGGATTTGTAGTTTTGCATGGTCTACTTTCATGCTAATTAGCATTTTCGAATCAGAGTTAATAGAGCCGAATATATTGATAAAAGTCACCTTGTCCGAGAGACATGTACATGGTTATCAAAACGTCACGCCAGGGTACGCCTACACAAAACACAGCCCTTATTTAAAGTTTTTACTAAAATCCCCTATGGGAAAAATGTATGGTGGAAAAACAATTGGAACCAAAAACAAATAAACAATTGGATCCATTTGCCTGTTTGACCGCTAGGTTTTATGGGTATTATTATTCCTCCACTGTGGGGCTCTATTCAGCCCATTTAAACACAAAAACTATGTTTGAAGTGAGAATTGGGCCGGTCTGATGCCGAAAGAGAAAGGAAATGATTGCCTAATTCACCCAGATTTTATTTTTGCACAAAAAAGTAGCGTGCAGTTCCAGAAGTTAGCTAGCTACACCGCTACATGGCAAAAAAAGTAATTGAAACACTAAAGTTAGCTAGCTACCTATATTTGAATTTAGTTAAACTACCACCAAGATACTGCAAATGTAATTAAATTACTAGTTGAACTACATGTAGTTCACTACTCCCCAACACTGTTATGTTGTCAACACCCATGCTACCTTAACCCTAACCGAGCAGCATCATCAGTGGTGTTGTTGTTGTGCTGACTTGCTTACCCGACTTGTTCCAGCGCATCTAAAATATCACTTTCCATTGCGGCAGACAACAATATCAGAAGATTCCTTCTACTTTAAAGATGTAACCGATAGAAGCTTGAGTGTGTTGACATTGTGATACAAACATATAATTAGCTTAATTCATCGTCTACTAGCTAATTTAGCTACGCCGTTTTGAAAAACATGCCGCAAGTCAGGAGTAACGAAAATTACATCCGTAATAGAACATGCATCTTGGTTACTTCCATTCCGCTTAGTGTGTTCCCGCTAATAACCTCCCGGACTGTCTTCATATCTTCCGTGGACTGAAAAAGTATCAACATATCATCAAAAAGCGCACTTTGAAAAGGGAGTTACATGACATCCCATTCTGAAATGTTATCATTTACCATTAATTTATGTGAATGAAAATAAACGTGTTATTTGTGTTATGCCATGGCCCATGATCTATAAATAATGCTGTCAATCTACTATATAACCGTAATTATCTGTCAGGTAATTCAACAGAATACTATTATAGTATATGTGACTTTCACATGGGAAAACATTATGCGATGCATTTCACTCGAATGGAAGGAATTGGTACTATAATAAAATCATCCTACTGATCAGTCTTGATATTTGCTCACTAGCTAGGGATAGTCTAATACATGAAAAATATTCCTGGTTAAAGGGTAACTCAACCACAATTTCAGCCTTTGCCTAACCCCTTCAAATAAAACTTTTTTTAAAATACATTCAGGTGAGAAGTTGTGGGTGGGGGCAATTGTTCATAAATATTCATTTTGTGGGAGGGTTAATGTAGTTGTACCTGATGCCAACACCTTCTCCCAAAGCATCGTGAGAAAATACCGCTGTAGACAGTGGTAAGGCGCCGACTTCTTGACATTATTGCCATTTCCTGCGTAAATTCGAATCCCCCATTGGGCGCAAAAAAACATATTTGAAATGTGGATTCACATTTATTGCGGTATTGTGTTGGGAAGAAAAGTGCAATCATCACCTTGAAAATTAAGATTAAGGGCTCAATTAAATCCAACCCGCATTGTAGTATTTAAACAGTAGCTATTTTTCCAATGGTCAAATTTACTCACACATTGGTCTTGGGTACTGTATAAAAACCTACAACTACTACCAAGGCGAACCCTCTCACAGGTATGCTTTCACTTTTCAGAATTAGAAGTGTGTGGACATATAATAATAATAATAATAATAATAATAATATGCCATTTAGCAGACGCTTTTATCCAAAGTGACTTACAGCCATGCGTGCATACATTTTTGTGTATGGGTGGTCCCGGGGATCGAACCCACTACCTTGGCGTTACAAGCGCCGTGCTCTACCAGCTGAGCTACAGAGGACCACACATCAGCTGAATAACATCTGCCCCATGTGGGATTAGAATTTACAACCATTGAACTGCTGTATGACCCTATGGTTTTAGCGGATTGAGCTACCAATCAGTCAAAACCGGTTAGCTAAAAAGTACTCAGATTTGACATGATGATCATTGTCATCTATTTCTTGTTATGATGGATGTAGTTATGTGGATAAATATATAATCCTCATAGCCTACAGTGGGGAAAAAAAGTATTTAGTCAGCCACCAATTGTGCAAGTTCTCCCACTTAAAAAGATGAGAGAGGCCTGTAATTTTCATCATAGGTACAGTCAACTATGACAGACAAAATGAGATTTTTTTTCTCCATAAAATCACATTGTAGGATTTTTTATGAATTTAGGCCTGTAATTTTCATCATAGGTACACGTCAACTATGACAGACAAATTGAGGGAAAAAAATCCAGAAAATCACATTGTAGGATTTTAATGAATTTATTTGCAAATTATTGTGGAAATAAGTTTTGGCAATAAAACAGCAACGATTTCTGGCTCTTCACAGACCTGTAACTTCTTCTTTAGGCTCCTTCCTCCACTCGTTCCTGTATTAGCACTGTTTGAACTTGTTATCAGTATAAAGACACTGTCCACACTCAAACAGTACACTTCAAACTCCACTATGGCCATACCAAAGGACTGTCAAAGGACACAGAACTAAATTGGAGACCTGCACCCAGGCTGGGAAGACTGAATCTGCATAGGTAAGCACTTGGTTTGAAGAAATCACTGTGGGAGTTTATTAGGAATGGAGCATACAAGACCACTGATAATCTCCCCGTTGAATCACGCAATCTCACCTGGGTAAAATGATCACAAGAACGGTGAGCAAAAATCCCGAACCACACGGGGGACCTAGTGATGACCTGCAGGACTGACCAAGTAACAAAGCCTCCATCAGTAAAACACGCCGCCAGGACTCAATCTGCAGTCCAGAGTTTCCCCCCTGCTTAAGCAGTACTGTCAGGTGTGTCTGAAGTCTGCTCGAGTCATTTGGATGATCCAAAGAGATTGGGAGAATGTATATGTATAACCAAAAAGACTTTTTTTGGGTTTTAAAAAACTCAATCGTCGTTTGGAGGACAAGAATGCTGAGTTGCATCCAAAGACACCATACTACTGTTAAGCATGGGGGTGGAACTCAGGTTTGGGGCGTTTTTCTGCAAAGGGACCAGGATGACTGATCCGTGTAAAGGAAAGTATGAATGGGCCATGTATCGTGAGATTTTTGAGTGAAACCTCCTTCATACCCAAGGGCATTGAAGATGAAACGTGGCTGGGTCTTCACATGTACAATGATCCCAAACACACCGCCCGGCAACGAAGAGTGGCTTACGTAGAAGCATTTCAGGTCCTGGAGTGGTGCCTGCCGTCTCCAGATCTCAACCCATAGAAAATTCTTTGGAGGGAGTTGAAAGTCCGTGTTGCCCAGCGACAGCCATTTTATACTGATAACAGTTCAAACAGGTGCCATTAATACAGGTAACAAGTGGAGGACAGAGGAGCCTCTTAAAGAAGAAGTTACAGGTCTGTGAGAGCCAGAAATCTTTCTTGTTTGTAGGTGACCAAATACTTATTTTCCACCATAATTTGCAAATAAATTCATTAAAAATCCTACAATGTGATTTTCTGGATTTTTTTTCCTCAATTTGTCTGTCATAGTTGACGTGTACCTATGATGAAAATTACAGGCCTCTCTCATCTTTTTAAGTGGGAGAACTTGCACTATTGGTGGCTGACAAAATACTTTTTTCCCCCCACTGTACATGCTGACTAGACCCGGCACGCGCGTGCATCCGTGTGCGCCATCGCACACATGTTGATTTTGTCCATCCACACCAGACGCGATCAGGACAAGAAATATCAAAAACGAACTCTGAACCAACTATATTAATTTGGGGACAGGTTGAAAGGCATGAAACATTTATGGCCATTTAGCTAGCGGGCTGTTGCTAGAAATTATTTCCTGGGATATAAATATTGGGTTGTTATTTTACCTGAAATGCGCAAGGTCCTCTACTCCAACAATTAATCCACAGATAATAGGGTAAACCTAGTTAGCTTCTAGTAATCTCCCCTCCTTCAGTCTTCTTCAGACTTTAAATGGCGGTTGGCAACCAACTTTAAGGTGCATTACCACCACCAACTGGACTGGAGTGTGGACCTCAGTTCAGCTTTCAATCACCCACGTGGGTATATGCTCCTAAAAACCAATGAGGAGATGGGAGAGGCGGGACTTACAGCACGTCATGCGTCAAAAACAGAACCAAGTTCTATTTTAGCGCCTGGCTACGCAGATGCTCGTTGACACACATAAGCAGTTTGGATGAAATGATTGAATCACATGTACAGTGGGGGAAAAAAGTATTTAGTCAGCCACCAATTGTGCAAGTTCTCCCACTTAAAAAGATGAGAGAGGCCTGTAATTTTCATCATAGGTACACGTCAACTATGACAGACAAATTGAGGAAAAAAAATCCAGAAAATCACATTGTAGGATTTTTAATGAATTTATTTGCAAATTATTGTGGAAAATAAGTATTTGGTCACCTACAAACAAGCAAGATTTCTGGCTCTCACAGACCTGTAACTTCTTCTTTAAGAGGCTCCTCTGTCCTCCACTCGTTACCTGTATTAATGGCACCTGTTTGAACTTGTTATCAGTATAAAAGACACCTGTCCACAACCTCAAACAGTCACACTCCAAACTCCACTATGGCCAATACCAAAGAGTTGTCAAAGGACACCAGAAACAAAATTGTAGACCTGCACCAGGCTGGGAAGACTGAATCTGCAATAGTTAAGCAGCTTGGTTTGAAGAAATCAACTGTGGGAGCAATTATTAGGAAATGGAAGACATACAAGACCACTGATAATCTCCCTCGATCTGGGGCTCCACGCAAGATCTCACCCCGTGGGGTCAAAATGATCACAAGAACGGTGAGCAAAAATCCCAGAACCACACGGGGGGACCTAGTGAATGACCTGCAGAGAGCTGGAACCAAAGTAACAAAGCCTACCATCAGTAACACACTACGCCGCCAGGGACTCAAATCCTGCAGTGCCAGACGTGTCCCCCTGCTTAAGCCAGTACATGTCCAGGCCCGTCTGAAGTTTGCTAGAGTGCATTTGGATGATCCAGAAGAGGATTGGGAGAATGTCATATGGTCAGATGAAACCAAAATAGAACTTTTTGGTAAAAACTCAACTCGTCGTGTTTGGAGGACAAAGAATGCTGAGTTGCATCCAAAGAACACCATACCTACTGTGAAGCATGGGGGTGGAAACATCATGCTTTGGGGCTGTTTTTCTGCAAAGGGACCAGGATGACTGATCCGTGTAAAGGAAAGAGTGAATGGGGCCATGTATCGTGAGATTTTGAGTGAAAACCTCCTTCCATCAGCAAGGGCATTGAAGATGAAACGTGGCTGGGTCTTTCAGCATGACAATGATCCCAAACACACCGCCCGGGCAACGAAGGAATGGCTTCGTAAGAAGCATTTCAAGGTCCTGGAGTGGCCTAGCCAGTCTCCAGATCTCAACCCCATAGAAAATCTTTGGAGGGAGTTGAAAGTCCGTGTTGCCCAGCGACAGCCCCAAAACATCACTGCTCTAGAGGAGATCTGCATGGAGGAATGGGCCAAAATACCAGCAACAGTGTGTGAAAACCTTGTGAAGACTTACAGAAAACGTTTGACCTGTGTCATTGCCAACAAAGGGTATATAACAAAGTATTGAGAAACTTTTGTTATTGACCAAATACTTATTTTCCACCATAATTTGCAAATAAATTCATAAAAAATCCTACAATGTG